TAAAAAGGTCCAAGCATGGCTATTTGGCTATTTTTAGCTCTAGTCTGGGATTTCACTCCAGTAGTCCTGACTTCAGCAACTGCTTCCCTCTGAAGGCCTTGTATGGAGGCCAAGCCTAAAGTGCAGGGGGTTCTCTGCTGTGGTGTGTCTTAAGTTTCCCTGACACCTGTTGAATGTCCTCATGGCTTACCTTCTGGGGCCCAGTTCCTTCTGCAGGCCCTTCCCTAACTCTTGAGACACATCTGCAACTATAAATTTTCATTGTCAGTGTTTAAGGAAACACCTGGCAGAGGGGCTTCAGAGGGTCTCCTCCCTTCCTGAGGAAACTTGACAGGCAGAGCCACGCCTGCGCTACCACTCCTATCTCCCATTCTCACCTCCTGAGTAGCATCTAGATTGCCAGGCCTCACTTGGGTAGACACTCAGGTTTGACTCTGGGGCTCTAGAGCTCAGTGTTGGGCCTGTTTCAGGGACCAAGGAGCCCCACGTTGGGTGGGGAAAAGGGCATAATAGTAGAGAAGCCTAGTTTTGACTCTCAAGAGGCTGGTCAGCTCTGATACTGTCCTCTGCAGATGTCAAGAGTCAGGTGCTGTCTGCATGCTGCTTGGTTTGTAGATATCACCAGCAGCAGAGGAATGGGTGCTGGTGAGGCGGGGCCAGGGCTGCCTTTCTGTGCCAGAGTTCAGGGTGTAGGCCATGTGGGGTAAGTGGGTGAGACTGACCATGCCAGGTCAGGATGATCCTGGGGCTCAGGCCTGTGGGAAGGGGTAGAGGGCAAATGATAGCATAGTGTGCTGTAGAGGGTACAGGATAAGGGGCTCCCCCAGCCTTGGAAGAGCCTTCACACAGGCATAGTGAGTGGATTAGAGGGGAGCAATTGCTGAAGGCCCTGAGAGACACCTGGGGCCCTCTCTAATGGTCTCTTCTGTTTGTCCCCATTCCATCTCAGGTCAGCTCACCAGGTGGCCAGATACCGCCCACGTGCCCCCATCATTGCTGTGACACGGAATCCCCAGACAGCTCGCCAGGCCCACCTGTACCGTGGCATATTCCCAGTCTTATGCAAGGACCCAGTCCAAGAAGCCTGGGCTGAGGATGTGGACCTCCGGGTGAACTTGGCCATGAATGTTGG